TAGGGTTAGGTTTTGTATTTTTTTAACGCAACCTAGACGGAATTTCCATCTAGATTGCTAATAAAATTTTTTGAAAAATATATAAACCGTCTAGTTTGGCATTCTAGACGGAAATTTCGGTCTAAAATGCTCAAACTAGACAGATCAACCTAGACGAAAATATTTCTACTAGTGAATTGATGCCAACGTGTGATGAAATCGTTGAGAATGTTAGTTTGTACCAATTCACGTAAATATCTGGAGGCAAAAGGCTTTGGTCAGTATTTTGTTTTAAAATTTTGACGCATTAACCGTTTGTATAGTTACCACATGGTACCATCTCAATTTAAAAAACAACAGCAAGCAGATAATACTGATTCACTTGTGACTACTCTCAAGTATGATAAATATATAAGCCATAACTTGCACTGTTGCCAGCAGCATCGACAACCTTAAACATTATGCGAACAACATATGCAAAATGCTTTTATCTATTGAACGGGGTGTTCGTTAGGGATGTCATTAATATTTAACACCCAGTGAGGCCATTTGACCGCAAATTGTTGTATGCATTTTGACTTTAGATAAAAATTGTACAAACACAAAACCAGGCTCTTGATAAATAAATACCACATGGAAAACCGCTCGCTCGCTCACAGGCAGATACACAAATTGAAGATAGTAAAAAAAAAAAACATAGTTCCACTCTAAGATTTGTAAACTATTCCGAAACTGAACGCTTTGAAACCAAAACCTTAAAAGGCCAAAACACAGCTTGTACAGTAACAATTGTCAGTAGAAATACTTCTCTAAAGACCTCCATCAGATTGTCACCAAATGCGAGTGAAACACTGCTATTTCTGCTCAAGTAGATCTCTTGGGAGGAGACAAGCTTTGCACAAGAGTAATAGTTGTGACAATAAGCAATATTCGCAATATCATACCTGAAAAATGAAAATGAGCGAATGATAAAAGATTTACCAAAAAAAAAAAAATCTACTGGAGTAAACTTCACCATAAATCCAAAGAAACTAGTAAGTTCAGCTTACCAAGGAAAACATGAACAACCTCGACTAGTTAATACCTTGCCATGGCCGAGACATTCTTATATTGTATAGCCTGAAAAAACAAGCGAGTAACGACGATAAAGGCAAATAGATAGATTATGCTCTTCATTGTTTCATTTGGTAACGGAATAGCTAACTTTCTTTGCCGAAAGATGTCAATAAAGGCAAATTTTTATAACTTTTGAAAAACCGTGAACAATTCTGTTCAGCAAGTATACCTATTTCTAGAAGGCAGTTTATCAAGGAAAAGTGGAACAAACAAATTTTAGTTCTATTAAAAATGTGCAGCAAAATATTTTAATAGATGTGCGGCCATTGACTAGAAAGAGGATACACACATAGATTGTAATTCATAATGAAAGATAGAAACAACAAAAACCAGCAAAACATAAACATTGATGCAGGAAACCAATAAAACCTCCGAGCCTGGAGGATACCGGCAAAATAAACTTAAAAACTAAGCTGGGAACCATAGGGCTTGTTTGGATTGAGGGGGAATGAGGGTGAAGGGAAGTTAGGGGAACCATTCACCTCCATTCATCTTGTTTGGGAACACTTAGGATGTGAAGTTAATTCACCCTAGTTCCCCTTGGTTCACCCCCTAATAGTATAAAAATTGTTACCCCCAAATTGGGGTGTAACCAAGGAGAAGGGAATTCCCTTCCCTTCCCTTCCCTTCACTTCCCTTCACTCGTTTCCCTTAGGGCCTGTTTGGATTTGTAAGGGGTGAAGGGAAGTTAAGGGAAACTGAGTGAAGGGAAGGGAAGGAAAGGGAAGGGAATTCCCTTCCCATTGGTTACACCCCAATTTGGGGGTAACAATTTTTATACTATTAGGGGATGAACCAAGGGGAACTAGGGTGAATTAACTTCACCTCCTAAGTGTTCCCAAACAAGATGAATGAAGGTGAATGGTTCCCCTAACTTCCCTTCACCCTCATTCCCCTCAAGCCAAACAAGCCCTTAACTTCCCTTCACCTCTTACAAATCCAAACAGGCCCTTAATCTTTTATCAAACTTAATCGTCATTGCACAGCGAGCCACTTTTTCTTGTCAAGCCTCGTACCGACTCGGGAGGAACAAAGTAAATAGCCTTTCAATCCACTGCCATGCAAGGGTTTCAGAGCTAGAAAATGTAGCTGAAAGTGTATTGGAAAGACATACCCTGGAGATTTTCTCAGCACGACTAAAATTATTTTTTAAAATCCGGCGGATATACATAAAGAAAACTGCAAGGAAAAAAAAAGAAAGAAAAGAAAAGAAAAAAGAGATTAGTACAGGTGAAGTCGCTTGGGGCTTTCATGGACTGATTCGGAGGGGATACTCTTCGATGTCGGGGCAGGAGTCTTCGTTGACATCGTCGATCGATCTCTGACGTGGTCGATCAAGGAGCAGGAGACGTCGTCGCCGATCGAAGGAGCAGGAGTCTTCGTTGTCGTCGATCGTCGTCTTCGTAGATCTAAACTAG